TACGACCGTGCCTCTCACGAAAGCAAATCTGTTCCTCCACGAGAAATAAATATGTGCCTCTTGCGGAGCGAAAAAAAGAAAAAAACACGTTTATCAACACAGAAAAGAAATATTTTTTAGGCCCAAAATCTATGAAAAATAGAGGAAAACTGAAAAGCAAAAAAAAAACAAAAGAACTTATATAAAAGAAAAAAGCATGTACAGAAACAAATAAAAAAATTCAAAAAGAGCACCCAGAGTGCGGCACGTGGCTGTTACTGATAGCGTCAAGTGACGCACTCTCAAACCACCAAAAATAACCTTTGCGCCCCTCAGAAAAAAGAAAGAGCTTTGCAGGGCGCCCAAGAAAGTACTAATCCGCTTCTTGCACGAACCTCCAATAGGTGACAGCCAATTGGTTAGTTGCCCTCGGACATAACTACCTACCGAGTGGGCCGCAATCATACTCTCATGCTTTTGCAGCTCCGCCAGCACCGATTCACCCATCCGAGCTAGCGCATTGAGTTAATTGCAGGAACTACCATACTTCGGCACGTCGTAACGAATCAGTACCATTAATTATTTTTTTATCATGCAGTATCAATTCTAAGCCTAAGTGTTGCAAAACGGTCCGACAGCCATATAAGCATGTATCTGACTGAGTGGCCCCACCGGCCGGGTGACACATGGCATATGTTTTTTGCAGAAAAGCCCCTTGCACTAATATTAATCACGCACATGCCCATTGCGGAAAACTAAAAATAATATGGTTTTTTGCAGAAAAGCCCCTTGCACTACTATTAATCACGCACATGCCCATTGCGGAAAACTAAAAAGAATGCCGCGTGGCCGAGATTCGAACCGGCAACCTGCCACGTCACAGGCGCACGACCGACCACTACAACAGCCTCGGTGGCTTGTTCAAAGTACGATACTATACTTGTATTGTTATACCTTTGAACAAATAAAATAAAACGAAAAAATGATGCTGCATCAGGATGCGATCCTGTCCGAAATTCTTACCGCGCGTGCACCCTAACCAACAAGCCACGCACATGCTCGAGTCAAGCTCGAGGCATATCTAGTTCGGACACATCCTGACCTTTCCCCTTATTTTGTAAGTATTTTTTTATTTCTTTTATCTTTTTTCAGATCTTCGTTATTACTCGGGTTTTCATGTTTTCATTTTTTTTACGTTTCTTTTGTATATATTACAGGTTTAATATGCAATATTTTTTGCAAATATACACTAAACATTATTGTATAAATACACAATGTACATTTTTTAGGATCACAATTAACATTATTGTATAATATATGAAGAAATTTTTTATTAAATACATTGAATATTTTTTAAATATATGATGAACTTTGTAAAATATATAAACTCTATATTTCTGTTTTGGATTTCTTTTATCCTTTTTCAGATCTTCATTATTCTTCGGGTTTTCATTTTTTTCAATTGCTTTTTATATAGGTTTAGTGTGCAACATTTTTTGGTAAATACACACTGAGCATTGTTGTATAAATACACAATGAAATATATTGTTTAATCTATGATGAACAATTTTGGTATATACATTGATGATTTTCTAAATATAGGATGACCTTTTTTATAAAATATATAAAGTCAAATTAATTATGTGTTTTTTGTTTCAGATTTCTTTTATCCTTTTTCAGATCTTCGGATTTTAATTTTTTTGCAAAAGGGCCCTGCCACACGTTTAGTAATGTAATAATGTGAAGGTATTTTATCTAAAATGTACAACAATTTCGAGCCGGTGGCTGTAGACGCGTGCGCCTATTTAATTAATTAGTATTTGCATTCGTCTAAAAAAACCTGGCTATGCAAATGGTCCTGCAGCCCGTTTAATGCAGACATATATAAAACATGCAAGCCATACCTAGATGCGAGTATCTCTGTGTTGTAGTGGATAGAGCGCGCTCTTTTATTTTAAACAAATAAAATGGAACCAAAAATGATACGGCCGCGCGCGCTCTCGGTCCGGATCATTTTTGGTTCCATTTTATTTGTTTAAAGGCGAAAGAGTACAAGGCTTTAGTATCCTCATTTAACAACTGAATGAGACTGGTGTAGTGGCTGTGAGGTGCGTCCGTAGTCACCTGGCAGGTGGGGCCACTCAGTCAGATACGTGGTTAGTACGTGCTTATATGGCTGTCAGACCGTTTTATAACACTTGGCTTAGAGTTGGTACTGCATGGCAAAAAAAGTGACTAATGGTACTGATTCGTTACGACGTGCCCAAGTATTGTATTGCCTTGCAATTAACTCTAGCGCATTTCTTCTTATTCATCCCCGACTCTGGCGACCCTGTCCGGCGACGATGGAGCAATGCGACTTCGCCGTACTAAAAAAAAAAAAACTATCCTCCACGATGCTGTGCTGGGGCGCACACCTCTACGCTGCTGGGCAGGGACACGCGGCCGCGACAGCTAGGTTCTCACGCGGCATCGGTTGGAGGAAGAGCCCCTCGTCTTCAGCCCCACCCACGCTCCTCTTACCTTGAAATTTCCTAGATTCCCAGTGGTGCTTTATTTTGTCCGGTATGTACTAACTCAAATCCAAACCCAAGTAGTGGTGCCTTGTCACGATTTAATTTTCACACAGATGAATACAGTGGATGGGTTGCGACCAAACGCGGTTTAGAAGGATATAATAGCGACATTATCAAATTTTACCCCATATTTTAGTGCTCGCCTGCCGTGGTTTGTCTTCAGTTAGCTGGACCTGTCAGCCATCGCATGCATCACCCTACTTACTCTGCAGTTGTTAATTGTCAAGTCTAGTCTTCTTGACTTGACTACATCCGAATTCCAAAGCCAACCAATTTCGTCCCTACTTAATGCGTCTTCCTTGCCCCTCTTCTGTGTAAATGGATCTAGTCCGATCTTCTTGCACACCTCATTTACTTGGAAGGCTTTTGAGCAGCTAAAAAGACTTTCCAGGTAAGTCCTCTTTTGCTTGTCAAATATGCTTTGAAAGATTTGTCAGCCGCCAGTTTTACGTTTAATTTGTATCAGTGTTCGTTCCTCTGAATCCTACAGATCAAGAAAATCCATGAAAATAATACGATTTATGTTTTTCTATGAATGGAAACTAGTGCATACAAGTATTTGTTTGTTTTGTACTTGGTCAAGAAATTCTCTTTTATCGAAAAAGTATGGTTCACTAGGGAAGAATGGATTTTATCACAACAATCTAGTAAGTTCGGGTTTCGATGGAAATCATTTTTTACAAAAGGTGCCTAGATGCATTTTTGGGCGAACATCCAAATTTCTTCTATAACAAAATCGTTTTGGAAATTTTAATTAGTAGATAAATACAACCTGACATGTGCCTTTCTATATATGACAGCACAAGCATGGTATTACAGAAATGTATACATTTTCCATCATATATAGCTCGACTGGTTATACTGACTGATTAGTATGTGCTTATTCGTTGCTTAAGAGTTTTCAGATGTCAAGCAACTTCGTAATATTAGTATTTTCAAATCATGCAAAGCAAATAGAGGGCAAGTGGGAGTGATTAAAACAATTGTTGTTTTCCAGATGGACAGATAGTAAATGCTATACTCGACGACTTGAACACCATGTAGTCATTTTCTCTCGGTAGAAAAATGACGCATGGATTGGATACTATTTGCAGGGGTAGTTAATGTAATATATATGTCATGGCTCATGTAGCTTACCATAGAATCACGCAAATTGTTCTGGACAAAAAGGACAATAATGGGCTGTTCAGTTAGTACTTTTGTCAGTTGAATTAAACTACTACGGGGGAACACACAACTGGTAGCCATGGCTGACTTTGTCAATCAAATCTTCTAAAGCTAAGAAAAAAGCGAGGAAGTTAAACTTCAAATTTTGTTTACTTGCACACGTTTATTTCTTGCATGTCTGTCCTAATCAACACAGTAAATTGCTAATATGGGCATCAGGTGATTTGCTCGGCCTTTCTGTTCAGTCTCTACTGAACATTGTGGATCTAGATATATAGGTTGTGCTTGTGAATTCAGTCTCCTTCCTTCTCTCGGCCTTTCTGTTCGAATTTGCTTCTATGTGTACCATACATGTGGGGGTTTAGCCTTTAAAAAGTAGTAAAATAGCTATGGTCTCAACTTGGCTAACTATTTTGTTTTTCGTATCCACTTTGGTGTTGTACTTCTTAAGAGAAGTATTTGCTTTTTTTTAATGCAGGGTTTGAAGTTTGAACACATCATTGACTTCTGTACAGCAGTCCCAGTTTGTGGTTTGAAGTCCACATATACGACAAGCTAAATTCCTATTAGGTATGCATGTCCTTGTTTGAATGCTTGCTCTTATGGTTATTGAGTTGCTATAGATTTCTGCAAGCATCTCCCCAATAAATACAAGTAGCAACTAGTTAGAAGTTGAATATTGTTTACTATTTTTCTGTTAAACCCTCTTGGTTGAATCAAAATTCTATGGTTCGACATATATGTAAGATGGCTGAATTATTGCACTGATGGCAGAGATTTTTTTTAAATAAACAATTATATTATTGTTTTTGAGGAATAACAACGGTTTCTATTGTACAAATATTCCAATCCTGAACAGTCCCTACCCCGACCGATGACGCGGTCAGACCAGCCTCATGGCCAACCCGAAATATGACTGGGTTTTTTATGTGATTTTAGACTGGATGCAACCCAGTCTTTTGACGATTCTAAAAAGAACCTGTATTTTTATGCTTATGCAGCCTTAAATCACAGCTTGCTTATGCTATTTTAGCTTTTATTCACTTGTTGGGTTTGCACCCTCTTCATTTTTCAATTGCCTTATCCACACATGATGCAACTTCTAAATGAAGAAGCAATGTGTTTAACCTCATGACATTGCTATAAATATTGTTTGGCAGAAAAGAATCACACGGACAATTTGTGCTACGTGTTTGTAAAAGACCAATCTAGTTGCTGCAGAATTGTCCTTGCTACAATGCTGAAACTGTACTATTACATGGATTAGGCGACAGATATATGGACATGCTGGAGCATATACTTGATGGGAGAGAGGAACCAACGAATCTACCATTTGCTCTTTTGAAGAATATCACGGATAATTTCTCCGAAGAGCGAGAAATTGGCCAGGGTGGATTCGGAACGGTTTATAAGGTAACTTTTAACTTCTAATAAATAAAGGTAGGTATGTTGCACCTAAAGAATTATAGAGCAGATGTTTGAACCCGGGTACACTAAGAAAATTAGGTACACCGTTTCAGAAAGAAAGTCTGTGAAGGCACTTTAAAGTTTTGAAAAGAATCTAGAACCTGCAATTTCTTGAGAGACATATCCATTGTGTGTTGTAGAGAAAAAAAAGGATGCTTAAAACAACAGGTGTTCATCTCGGATTGTTTTGATTTTTTTTTCATTTCTTATTTTTAGCTGGCTGCCTATCTCATTGAAGCTAAACTATGTAAAAACCAATGTTGTTAATAGCCAAATATTAGGGTGTTACTAATGTCCCGACAACAACACCCTGTTTTGGTGGTATATTGCAAACTCAGATTCTTTGGGTGATATATTACCATAGTTGACTTCTTTCAGTACAACATACCAATTTTCTGAATCCTGTTAGTGCACTACGTCCTCAAATAATCTAGCAACATGTCTAATCAACTATGCTACTATAAGTACTTACAAGAGAGGTTAAGCAGGGTGTCCTCCCAAATGGGAATGTTGCTGTGAAGAGGATTATGAACAGCCACACAATCGATGAGAATCTATTTTATGGTGAAGTTAATAGCCTCTTGAAGGTTAACCATCAAAATGTAGTCCGGTTTCTTGGTTATTGTGCTAACACAGAGCAGATAGCGGTGAAACTTGACGGAGCAAGAGAATATATTTACGCAGAGATAAGGGAAAGATTGTTCTGTTTCGAGTATATTAGCAACGGAAGCCTACAGAAACATATTACTGGTATGATTATGTTGCATGTGATGCTTCCCTTCTTAGTACTTATCTTTCCTCCTTTCATGCAACAGTTGACAAATAGTAAGGGATAGACTGGATCTATAATTCAGTATGCATCTTTAGCATCCACAGATTGAATGCAGATATCAATAGATTTCATGCTTCACTACTACTCTGCTCTTTCTGAAGAGTACGAGGTCCCACGGTGCCCGACCACCTCCACACTAGGTTCCATATTGGGCTGAAGGGACAGTCTTTCGTAAGTGCGGCAGAGTGTCAAGACCCGATAAAACTATATCACGTTTCGCCCATTCATGCCCACAAGAAGCTCAGCTAGCTATCTCACTTGTGCTTTTAGCACAAGCAGTCATTGAATGAGCATAAAAAACTTTTTCTTATGCTTGTCTATGTGTACAGATGAATCTTCCGGCCTTGAGTGGGACATGCGATATGAGATGATAAAGGGAATTTGTACCGGTCTGCATTTCCTTCATGAGAAATGCCGTATTGTTCATCTAGACCTTAAACCAGAAAACATATTGATGGACACAACTATGATACCAAAAATATCGGATTTTGGTTTGTCAAAGATCTTTGGCAGCAAACAGTCACGGATTATCACTAATCATTGTACAGGATCACGGTTGGCTATAACTCTATCAACCATTGTTTTTTTCTTCAGCTATTTTCCATCTCTTTGTTCACGTCTGTAGTACCTCCACTTCTGCCCTTTCTTGTAGTGGGTATATGGCACCAGAATACTCAATCCAAGGCATAGTCTCCATGAAGGCAGATATCTTCAGCTTGGGTGTTATAATAATTGAGATAATCACAGGTCATAGGGACTATCCGTCTTACCGGCTCGACAGTCCCCAGAGTACTAGCATATCTTTCCAGCAATACAGAGGGAAGGTACGTTAAATTAATATAGCCTTTACATAAATATCGTCATTCTAGCTCTCTGTTGCAAATGTGTAGGTGCTCGAAACTTGGAGGAACAAATTTATGTACATGCTGAAGTATAACCCAGTGGAAAAATACACCAAACAAGTTAAACAGTGCATCACTATAGCCCTAAAATGTGTAGACCCTGTCATGGAGAGAAGACCTACTGCACATGATATAATCCAAGTGTTCAATGGAGTAGACGGGGTATAGTATATATCTTCCCAAGTTAATTTTTGTGAACTTCTAGAAGCACATTCCCAGTTAATGTTACATGACTTGAAAGCTCTGACCAATTGTGTGCATGCATATAGATGAAGACCCATGAAGTGTTGCCATCAGGATTGCAGTGCAAGGAAAAGTTGCTGGTGACAAACACTACTATAGGCGAGGATCTCATACTCCAGGATGTCACTATAGACATGTTGACATGCGATGGGAGCAATGAGAGAGATGGTAAAGTGGTATGTGCGATAAATTCTGAAGATCCATCAACAATGCCCTTATCGGGGTTGAGAACAGTCAATCAAAATTATAAAGAAGCTGTAGGGACATCTACTGAGCCACAACCAACAAGTGAGACAGCCACACAGGTATGTTTGGATACCTGATATTTCAGAGATAAAAAAGGTCATGAGTTGATTATCTTTTTAGTATAATGATATGACTTACATGCTACAGAAGGCGAGGGCTTTTATTTACTGAAAAAGGCTTTCACCCCGCTTTATATATAAAGCAAACTGCCAGAGCACGATATCGAAACAAGATTTAACCCACGCACACACACGCAGGCACACACACGCCCAGACCCGACACAGGGTGGGGCAGCCACAACAGGCTAATCAGGGCTTTTATTTACTTATTTGAACCTTGTTATACTTGGACCTTGTGTACGTTGGAATAATTAATAATAGGCTGTGTACATCACTCGATGTAGAGCCAAGGGAAAACTTTCCCCTCTTCTCGAAAAAATTATACTACAATAGTCTGAGTATATGTGTCAAATATTCTTATGCTTCTTCTTTCTTCTGTGACCAACAATTCTAGCATGAATAATAAACATTTATCATGATATAAGGAAATGAAATAATAACTTTATTATTGCCTCTAAGGCATATTTCCTTCATCTTTTTTCTTCTGTGACCAACAATTACTTGGCCAATATATGGTTATGTGACATAAAATTGATGTCCCTAGATTCGACACACAAGCCACATATTACTCACGTAATAGTTAATCAAAGCTTTGCTTTAACGAATCCAACCGCGGCTGACATTTGGGGACCGGGGGAGTAAATGCTAGATAAGTAGGCAGTAATTGTTGTAAAGTGGGGATTATCAGTTGAAGACCATAAGTACTTGGCATAAGGATTCATAAGGTTTTTTCTAAGTGCCTCTTGTAGGTCATCCTCTCGATGGGCTTGCATTGCGCCGGCTGTGCGAAGAAGGTCAGGAAGTCCATCATGCACCTTCCTGGTATGCATGCGCTCACTTTTAGTTGTGTGGGAGGACATAATTTGGGTGGCTTTAGGCGACTGATGTGTTGGTTGTGTGCAGGTGTGCAATCAGTCGTGGCGGACATGGCATCCAACAAGGTGGTCGTAGTGGGGACATCTGACGTGGCCACAACCAAGGCGCAGATCGTGGCCAAGTTAGCGAGGCCAGTTGAGATTGTCTCCACCAAGACCGTACTGGCCGAGGGGAAGAAACCCAAAAAGGTTAGTATACAAGAGACCATCCCTCCAAACATGCACATATGTGCGCGCAATATTCTTCTCTGTTCATAAACAGGGCCACAAACACATGAACATTTACCCAATGTAATCGAGTCCCATGAGCTTGTGGTGCTTGCCGCCTAGAATCCTGGTCTCCATGCTGTGGGCATGCATAAGAGGATGCCCAAGCCTGCGCATGAGTCGTAGGCGCATGGACACGCCTAGCCTCTTCGGTACATGCCATGACAGGGTTGGCAGTTTTGCCCATGGGTATCAGTACACGGCACAAATGACACACAACAAATTAGACCAGCAAATGGCATGGTGCCAAAGTGACAGAAACCTGATATGTTTACCTTACCGCCTATAAGATGTAGATGCTCTGATAGCAACGATATGTAGGTAGGAAAAATGACCGAAAACAAGCTGCATATCTCGATTTTGCCATTTTTGAGAAACATGTGTACAGTTTGTGTAGGTTCTCCATCCCTCTCTCGAAATAGGCTTTCACCCCGCTATATAGATATAGCAACCAACCGATACACCTCTGTGTTCAATGCTGGGGCAGACAACACAAGCACGCCCAAAAGAAACAAAAAATAAAGAAGAGAGAAACTAATGACAATAGTGTCGGATCGACGGAAACAATGATGATCTGTCACCGCTGCGCCCACCGAAGAGGTTCCACCTCGCTCCTAGCACCTCGAACCTCCACATACCAAGAAACACCTTCACGAAGGGACACGACGACGACGTTGCTGCTGCCTGGACTGATCCTAAGGTTTCCCCCGGTACGCGGAGGGGCGTGGGGAAGGGGAATACCCAACTCCCTTCATGAAGGAACGGCGGCGCCCACGGGCGTCACCGCGTCAATGCCGGCAAGCCAGCAGTCCATTGTTGTTATCTCTATATATGCCGTTATTCTTGCTTTCTGTGGCATCCGAACTAATTAAAATAAACCCATTCTTATGTACTAGGTTTCTTGTTGGGCATGCTTTTTCACGACGACGTGATTGGATATACGTGGGCACAGTATCTACTTTGGAGATTTTTGTGGTTAATGGTGAAGAACCAGCTGTTGACAAGGGTAACACATAAAAGAGAATTCCATGTGAGGGGTAGATCAGGAATACAGAACCGTCATGATAGGTGAAGCTAATTGAGGTCTTCTTTTGATTTGTGTGTGTGTCGACTGTGTTTTGTGGAACACAATGTTCTTTTTTGTATTTCAATTTTTTGCCTAGCATCTGTACATCTGTGAGAGTCGGAACACACTAAAACTGTATATAAAAAATGTAAGACTTGCATTTTGTAGTGGACCTTTCATTTTTATCTTTTATATTTAGTTTATCTCACGAACCATTGAATACAGTTAATCCTTTGTTTTTTCCATGTATACTAGATGTACAACTCGAACAAACAAATATCATTTCGTCTGAGACTCTATACAGAGAATCTGATATGGATGATGGAGACTTTTGGCTATTACTAGATGACGCCCGCGCGTTGCTGCGGGAACTCTGAGTCCTACACATATGATAATAAATAAATTGAATATATTTGTTTGCATAGTAGATGTATGATCTTAAGATGAAAAAACTGAAACAGACCAGTTCTTGGAGTGTAATTATAAAGATAGCAAAATGTGCATCATGTGATATTTTTATTAAATATAGTGGTATGACATAATTAATCTCATATGATTTACATACAAACCAATGTGTATATACACATTAATACGAAGATTCTTAAATGGAGACGATATGAAAGGTTATGTACAAATTTTCGTTCTGAGATACTTATGGTATATTGTGGAGATATTGTGTGTGACTCCTGTTGTAAATCACATCAACCTTCTGCATTTTAGAGCGGGAATTATAGCCAAGTAGGTGTTACATAAGTTTAGAGCAGGAAGCATTAAGGCAATTGGCAAGGGCACCATCAATCAAATTTTAAACAGTTCAGTGGAAATAGCACCACCTGAGTTATCAAATGCTTAATAGAGAAAACTAATTATGCTCCTCGTTTCAGTCCAGGGCTTCAAAGCTTGTGTGGATTTAGTAAGCACCTCCCTACAAAGCAGCATGCGTACTAAATTACATAACACAATTAGATGACGATCCAGAGGAATAACTAATGACCATGCATCGTTCAGATACAAAATAATACAGAGACTCATTCATCTATGCGCCTGGCAAAAAACAATCAGGAAACCATGTAGGATAACCTCACAATTAGTAAGATAGTAGAGCAAGGTTATGAATGGATCCATGGAGTAATAGGAATAGCCTCACATGAATCAAATTGCGTGAGGCTGGGAGCCTGGGAGATACATAAGGAACTCCAAATTTCGCCCAGCACTATCCGCATCCACCTCCTCGTACTTCGTATCTAATGATTTGCTTAACCAAAACAACTTGTGCTCTGCAGCACCAACTGCTTTTGTCATCTTTCTGATCCTGCTCATCACTCGTTCCGACATGGATGGAGTACTTGGCTTTTCCTCGCAGCCCACATAGATCAGAAAATTGCACTGCCCCATATTGTTTGACCACAACATCTTCTCTGGCCATCCAATAGTATTACCAGAGAAAAGCGTCCAGGACATGCGAGTGCGCCGAACCCGCTTCTTAGCCTTAAGCCAAGCCCACGTCCAAGGTGATACAATGACCATCATAAACATTGCACAAACTTCCAGAAAAAAACATCCCATAAATAACATGTATGTGATTGCAATGTCGACTCTATTGTACCTCTGTTTGTTGCCAACTGTGAAGAAGAGCACAAGGGCAAGGAAAGCTGATACTTGAGAGGTGCACCGAAGTATGATGCCGCTCCTTGTCCGAAGCACTGCAGCCTTTGTATAGACATCACAATACATGATACCCAGTTCAACATCAACCAACCTGGCCAACTTGGCCTGTTGGACTTGATGTGATCGAGCATAGCTTGTCCAAGTTGTTGCGCGGAAGCCTTCTGGTATCTGGAAGAGTGTAAATCCAGCAAATAAGTGTCGAACTATCGGAGCTGAATCCAAGGAAAAACTAATAATGCTAGAGTAGCTAGCATCCTCCTCTAGTTCTGGATGAGTCAACCTATTTTTTTCTTCATTACTATTGTAGCCACTGATGTTTTGTAAGTTCCCGTACATGAGAGCCATCGTCCTCTCCCCATACGTAATGATTCCAGCAACAAACATAAAGTTGCCCGGAACAAGAATCTGCACATTTCGCCAAGCAGTAGACTTCCAGAAGACATACAA